GACTCTCGCCCCCGGCCACCTCGGAAGCCTCGAAGCGGGGGTGGGCGCGGCGCCCTCGGGGAAAAGACGGCCCGGACGGCGGCCGCTCCCCGGCGGCCCCTACTTTGTGCTGATTTCGGCAGTCTCTCCCCCACCCGTCGCCCCCCGGACAAAGAAGGAAGCGGTGCGCGGGCAGTTAGGAGTCCCGCCGCGACTTGGGCCACCAGACACGTCTGCAGGAGTTTGCATGCCAGGGAGTGGCGGGCGGAGTGTGGTTGGAGGGGGTTGAGGCCGCTAGGGGTGCCGGTGACGGAAAGTCAGTGTCGTCCCCACGGGAAGGCATCAGGGACACCTTCGGGGGCTGTACGCCTGCGAAGAGCTTAGGGACGGTTCTTCCCGAGACCTCGGCCACCCACATCCACTCCCGGGACGCCCCTGCTCCAAGCGTTCCACGCTCCTGACACCGATGCTGTTGGACAGCGCGGTGTTTGTACGGTAGAGAAACGCTGTGCGCGACCCCGAAGTGCCCCCGCTCGCTTCCTGCTTCCAAGATTGCACGTTGAGACTTTTTCAGATTTCCAAGTTTGCATTTTTTTTTAAAAGGTAAAGTAGTGTTCCACCTTAATGCAAAATGACTCGTTTATTCGTGGGTTTTCTTTAGAGATGAGGTATGTTGCATTTGTTTTCTGTGTGGTTAGAAGCAAAGTTTTCCACTGACTTCTTAACAGCAATTAGTGGATTTCTTGTCCTGCCGCTTTGTGGGAGCGAGGGCCAGCAGAAGTGAACAGCTTTGACAGTGGTGTTTTCTGTGTTGTTGTTGTTGTTTTTATCTTGAAGGACAGCTTTAGTGGAGTTTCTTTTCCAGGGTCATAATTTTTACTGTTCCTTGTTTACTTTCAAGGGTGGAAACATTTCATTTCCCATGTAACACCTTGTCATTTGAGCAACTGGGCTACTTTATAATCTTTTGAACTGTAATAGACTCTTTTAAATCCTTATGTGAGGCAGTTATTATAAAATTCTGTGGTTTTTAGGATGTTGCCTGTTTCCTGTTCTTCCCCATTTCTTCCGAGTTCTTAATGCAGTAGTCTCTCTGAAGAAAATAGCTTTGTAATATCCTCCTCCAAACCTAAGTAATCAGGTGGAATTGTACTTACACTTTTGATTTAAGTAGCATTTTCTGGTTGTTATGATTATTTATCAGGATGTTTCTTCCTGATATTAGGGAGGAGTGTTGCTATAACTAGCCTTTACTTATTTCTTGAGGCTTGTGCCTATTATTTTGTGGTATACTTGATTCTCTTATAACTCCCAGGTTGGGGAACTGGTCCCTTCTCCTACTCTAATTTCTTTGTAGTCACAGAATCAGCGTTTTGTCTCTCGAGAGTTCTGCTAGATAATTGAGCTGTTCCATCCTAGCCTAGAGGCTTTGGAAGTAGAAACCAGACTCGTGTAAGTGTTGTCTTCCAAAGGTTGCATCACTCAGTTACTGTACAAATTCTTGCCTTGTTGATGTGTCTTTTCAGACAACAGTTTTAGATACAAATGCTGAAATTTGTGTGTAAATCAGCCTAGTTGCTGACTTCATAAGACTGAAGAAACTTTTACCGGTTTTGAGAACACTTTGGGGCAATTTATTTAACCTTATTTGCTTTTGTCTGGTATGACTGAGATATGAAATGTCACATAAAATTGTCATTTGAACATTTTTAAAATATTGTGTATTGAATGGAATGGAAGTATTACCCCAGGGTAGGTATCTTGATTCTCCAAACAGTTCCAAGAGCCTTACTTTTTCATTATACAGTAGAGTTTGAAAAGAATTGGACTCTAAGGCGTAAATAAATGCATTAATAATTTTCTTCCAATATTAATATTCACAGCACTTATAATAAAACAATCTTGGTTTATGTTTTAAAAATTGTTCTTTGATGCCTGAATCTTATCTCGTTTTAGTGCCTTGATTTTTTTTTTCTAAGAAATAATTCTCATTCATTTTTTAAGAGTGTAGTCAAAGAATTTAGACTTTCTTTTTTGATAAGAACATGAATGATCATCTGTCATAGTACAGAGCAGCCCTCAGAGATCAAGTTCTTAAGGCTGCTGGTCTTTTGCAGACGTGTCTGCAAACATACTTTTTTAGATTTCTTTTGCCTGATTTAAAATTCTTTTCAGTCTTCTTCCTCCTGTCAGAGGGTAACTCTTGCTTGTATGCAGCTCTTTCTCCTATTTGTCATTTGTTTCAACGCAGGAAACAAGATAAACTTACAAAATTACAAAATTTCACATCACAGGATAAGGTAATGGTGATTACCTTTGGGAAGGGAAAGTTACTTTTCACATAATTTTGTTCTGGGTGCATGAATTACCTATTTAAAAATATATATAAATGAGCATAGATGAATTTTTAAAATAACTTTTTTGCTCTGTTTCCATTTATACCCAACAATTGTGTCACAAAAATGACTCAGTAACTTCTAAATAAGAGCTTGGGGTTGGCCAGTTACTCGGTTGGTTAGATATGGGGCTGAGAACACTAAGGTCCAGGGTTGGATCCTGTACCAGCCAGCAGCCCGCTACCCGCCCGCCCCTCCAAAAAAAAGAGAGCTTAAGCGTCTGTTTTTTTGTTTGTTTGCTTGCTTGTTTGTTTTGGTGGCTGGCTGGCCTATATGAAGATCCAAAACCTTGATCTTGGTTTTATAATAAAGTGCTGTAACCGGCCAGCTCCTAAGGGGCTGTTTATAGAGAATGTTAGCTGTAGTATATGGGTTTTTTCACATCTATTTTGTCTCTTTTTAAGTAGGGAACTTAACTGTTTGACAACTACATTTCAAAAAATGTCGATACGTTTTTACTTCTCAGAATGTCTCTTAACAGTATCTTTAGTATTCAGAGAATTACTTGCATTTTAGATCTAGTACATGTCTCATTTTATAGAAGAACTGAGATTCAGGTAAATTTTTTTTTTTTGTCCAACTTCTCAATGTACATGGTAGTCGATTTTCATGTCCCTTTACCCCCTTTCCTCTTTTCCCCTTCCCTCTCTCCCCTCCCCCCCACTACATGATATCTGTTCACTTGTCTTAAGAAGTTCAAGGAATTGTTGTGATTGTTGTCTTCTTCCCCTGCTCCCCTTATTTGTTTGTTTATTTATTTATTTATTTATAGCTCCCTCAAATAAGTGAGAACATCAGGTAAATTATTTAGACAACTAGATAGTAGCTAGAAGGGACTAGGACCCTGCATCTCAACTCTGAGTTGATCAGATGTTGTTGTTATTAGCACCATGCTCTAACCAACTGAACTAATTGGCCAGCCTGTTATTAACAGAACGTTGGGCATAAGCATCAACAACAACAGAAAAACTTGCTGCCTGCTCTTAACCAAGTGAGCAGTTGAGAAGGAAAGGCAAATACAAATCAATATGAAATTGCAGCTGTGGTAACTAAGCAAAGGAGAGGCATTCATTGCAAAGAGGTCCTCTGCACTTGCATGTGCCTCTGCCTGGAATGCTCACCCCAGATAGCCACGTGATTAACTGCAGATAGCCACCTGATTTGTTTGCCGTGGCTGGCCAGTGCAGGGATCCGAACCCTTGACCTTGGTGTTACTGGCTTTTTTGTTTTAATCATTTTATTCTCCCATTAGAATGTAAGTTCCATGAGAGCAAGAGCTTTGTTTTTTTTTTTTTTTTTTCATTTCTCTATTTCCAATATCGAGAAACACATTAGGTGCTCAATAGATATTTGTTGAATGAATGAATGAATGAATATAACAGGGGGAATTGGACTAGTCAGAAGATGAGGAAAAACTTCATTGAGGAAGAGATGATTGAGCTGAGATCTGAAGGAATAGTAGGAGTTAATGTGGAGGAAAGAGGGAGTCTCGAGTAGGCAGGAACACACGCTCCATGAGTGGGAAAGGGCCCTGTGGCATCCACTGCCATATCCCCAGCTCCTGCTGCATATTTGGTGGTCAGTACGTGTTTCTCAAATGAATGAGGAAACATCTAAGGTAGAAGGGACATGTGCAGAGGCCAGGTGGGTGAGGGAGCCAGCTCATTTCCAGGAAAGAGGGTCAGTATAACTGGAGTGCCCTGGGTGTGAATAAGTAGCCTGGTGTGATAAGTGAAGAGAGGTGTGCATGTTTGAAGAGAACAAATGGTAAATTCAGTATTTTACTCACCGTTTATACTGCATCTTCTTGTAAACTTGAAGTGCCTCATTTACTGTAAAATAAAAGTGTGATTTTTTCCTTTGTTTTTTCCTGTGGCTGAAAATATAAAGACATTAATGACTAAGTAAGTGTGTTCAGAGTTGACATTATGTATATCCATGATCTAACTAAAAACAAAATCTGCTGAGTTCCCATGTCATTGGGTGTACTTGATTATGAACATTTCAGTTCTGAGAAGAATATCAGTCATACTTGGCAGCGTATAACCCCTTTACTGTTTATATATGTAAGCTTTTGTCTTGGTAACTTTTTAGACCTTCTACAGATCTTTTGAATTTTAACTTTTCTGTTAAGATTAATAGACCATATCATTTTTTTTTTTTTTTTGTCTTTTTTCGTGTCCGGCAATGGATCGCAACCCTCAGTGTCGCGCCCGTACCAGACCGGGACCGGCAACGGGATCGCAACCCTCGGTGTTGCGCCCGCACCTCACTCAGCCAGTGAGCAGGAACCGGTCTGTATGTGGGGTCCGAACCCTCGGTGGGAGCGCCACTGCGCTCCCAAGCAGCACACTGTAGCAGTGCGCCACCGGGCCGGCCCCAACCATATCATTTTAAAAAGAAAAAAAAAGGCAGTTATTTTGTGAGTCATTGTAGTTGCAGAAATACAGGTTATATAGAACTCAAAATAAATTGTTCATTTATTACTTTGCTTAAGTCTAGGTCATTGTATACCTACACCTTTTCAGGAAAGTTGTTTCTACTCACTGACATATGTGAAAGCACTTTAAAATATACTGTTTTAGGGCCAGCACTGTGGCGCACTGGAGAGTGCGCCGCTTGGGAGCACGGCTGCACTCCTGCCGAGGGTTTGGATCCCATGTGCAGACTGGTTCCCACTCACTGGCTGAGCGCGGTGCAGGCGCAACACCGAGGGTTGCAATCCCGTTGCCGGTCCCCGGTACAGGCGCGACACCGAGGGTTGCGATCCCGTTACTGGTCAGTAAAAAAGACAAAAAGGAAACACATATATATATATATATATATATACTGTTTTATATAAGTACGTGTGTATATAACTTTAGAAATTGTATTTCACCTTTAGAAACTGTTTCACTTACAGAATGTATCTCCTATTAATGCCTTAAATTATTATACCACAGAAGGATTGTACCCATTATCTTAGAGATTTTCTAGTGTATAGGAGATTAAGGGAAGAAACCCTGCTATAGTTTTGCGAACTATTTAAAGATCTATTTAAAAATTAATTGATTAAAATCATTAACTACAGCTACTCTTGAACATTTTTTCGTACCAGTTTTATTCATGTTGAGGGTATGTACGAAAGAAGCAGGAGCTGATCAGGAGAGGTTTTCCCGGAAGATGAGGCTTCTGCAGTGTAGTAAACTTGAGAATGTGGAGTTTCTCCACATACATTTGTCGCTCAGTGTCTATGGGGGATCGGTTCCAGTATCCCCCAGTGATACCCAAATCCAAGGATGCTCAAGTCCCTTATATAAAATGGTGCAGTATTTGCATGTCACCTACACAAATCCTCCTGTATACTTTAAATCATCTCTAGATTATTTGTAAGTGCTGCATAAATATAGTTGTTATACTGTATTGCTTTTAATTTTATATTATTTTTTATTGTCGTATTGGGTTTTTTCCCAAGTATTTTCTGTCCGTGGTTGGTTGAATATAATACAGAGGGCTGACTGTACTGCTTTGCAACACTGTAATGATCAGTGAAGTAAATATATTAAGGCCTGGAGGAGTATTGATCCTGTGGGCTGTGATATTCAGAAATGGAACCAGTAATTGGGAAATGCAGTGATGTGCTAGCAATAGGTCAAAGCTTTGAAAACCAGTGTCACTTTATTTTGCCTCGAAGATATACAAGACTTATTCTGATACTGTAGATACCTTATACTTTTGAAGACAACTGACTTTTAATACATTTGGGGTGGTTTTCTTCTGGAATTATAGATAATATTCAGACTGCTAACATTAATATTAATAAAATAATAACTTATTTAAAAGTTACATATAAAATATCATAAAATAATATTTAACTAATTGATTTTTCTTTTGTACTTTTTATTTGTGTTGCAGCTTTGATTAGTTTGTCCTTTGGGGGAGCAATTGGGCTGATGTTTTTGATGCTTGGATGTGCCCTTCCAATATACAAGTATGTAAAATTTTTGTCTTTTTGAGTGTTTAAGGGTAAAATTTTTCTACTTTTAAAGCCTTAAAAACAATGTTTTTACTACTTTAGAAGTAATGCAAAGGTATGTTTGTTTACCTAACACAAGCCTTTTTAAAAATCATGACTTAAAATTTGTAAAGATTTTAGGATACCAAAGTGCAAAAAAGATTTTTGACTATTACCTGCTCTTTCCTACTAACTCTGTTATGTCAAGATAACACAATAGTTCAGCCCTTACTGCTCAGTTTTGAACACTATTGATAATATTAAATACAAGAAAATTTAACATGTCTTTTTGCAAAAAAAAATACCATAATCAGAGTCAAAACCAATTGACTAAAACAAAAAAGTGAGGTGATCAATTACTTTCCTCGGAATAGAAAGAACTTTTAAAAATTAATGTATAGATAAATTAGTGAGAAAAAAAATAGGCAACTCAATTGAAACTCAACAAATATGAAAAGAGAACTACAAATTGCTAATAAGCACATGAAAATATACCCAACCTCACTCAAAACTAAATGAAATCCATTGGCAAAGATAAATGATATGGGAAAACAGGCACTATTATGTACAATGGAAAGAGTATAAATAGGTACACTGTTCTTGGAGATCAGTGTGCTTGTGGCAAAATGTATATATTCTTTGAATAGGCCCTCTACTTCTAAGACTTTCTCATAGAAATCCACTTGCAGATGTTTGTAAAGATATGTGTAGTGGGGTAGACTATGAATATTCGTGAGAGCTTTGTTTATAATAGCAGGGGGAAAAAAAGCCTGGAAGTATCCTAAATGTCCATCAAAAGAAAGATGGTTAAAGTATGGTACATCAATTAATGGAAGTACTAGACAGTATTAAAGAGAAAGAGCAGTAAGTGTTGATATGTAAAGAAGTTAGGATATATTACTAAATGGACAAAAATAATGGAATGACTCATTCATATTTTTAAAGTTTATCTATATGAAGATATTGAAGGGTCCACAAGAAGCTCAATAGGAGAGTAAGAAAGAGAAAGCAGGGGGGATTTGGGGAACTTTCAGTTTTTACTTTTTGTGCATTTGTATTGTTTGAATTTTTTAAGCATGTGTCCTATTTTTAATTTTTTTATTCTCTTAGAACATTTAGGAAAGGATTTTTAGGAAAATATATAAATAGATGGCTGCTTATCATAAACCTCTAAGTAAAAGCAGATCTCCATTGTGATGTGTATTTTATTCTATGGGAGTTTTAAAAGCCGTCTATTTCTTTTTAACTTTTTATTTTATTTTTTTTATTTTTTTTAAAAGATGACTGGTAAGGGGATCTTAACCCTTGACTTGGTATCTCCATTGTGATGTGTATTTTATTCTATGGGAGTTTTAAAGGCCATCTATTTCTTTTTAACTTTTTATTTTATTTTTTTTATTTTTTTTAAAAGATGACTGGTAAGGGAATCTTAACCCTTGACTTGGTGTTGTCAGCACCACGCTCACCCAGTGAGCGAACCGGCCATCCCTATATGGGATCCGAACCCGGGGCCTTGATGTTATCAGCACCGCACTCTCCCGAGTGAGCCACGGGCTGGCCCCTCTTTTTAACTTTTTAATTTGAAATAATTATAGACTTTCAGGAAGTTGCACAAATAGTACAAAGAGGTCCCTTGTACCCTTCACACAGCTTCTGCCAGTTGTAACATCTCACGTAACTATAGTTATCAAATCCATGAAATGACATTGGCACAATACAGTTAATTAGACAATAGACTAAAAGCTGTTATGTTTATCTGTGATAAATTCTATATTCTGTCTGGAAGTCTTCAATATTACTTTCAGTTTTCTGTATTTTGATTTCAGTATTTTGGGAGTTCCTAGTGATTTAAGCAAAGTTTGGGGGTGTTTAAGCATTATGCTAAGGCAGGGCATCATCCATTAGAAGTCAAGGGCATGGGGCCAGCCCTCGGCTCACTCGGGAGAGTGTGGTGCTGATAACACCAACGCCACAGGTTCAGATCCCATATAGGGATGGCCGGTTAGCTCACTGGGTGAGCGTGGTGCTGACAACACCAAGTCAAGGGTTAAAATCAGGTGCTGATAACACCAACGCCACAGGTTCAGATCCCATATAGGGATGGCCGGTTAGCTCACTGGGTGAGCGTGGTGCTGACAACACCAAGTCAAGGGTTAAAATCACCTTACTGGTCATCTTTTAAAAAAAAAAGAAGTCAAGGGCATGAAAATTATTTCGTTAATATTTCTCTTTTCCATATGACTTTATTTATAACCTATTTTGAATTTTGGTCTTTAATTACAACTGTTACAATTTATAAAGCATTTTCTTTTAATGTAACAAAAATTTAATCACTGTGTCATAATTGTTTTTAGGGATACTGTGATTCAAAATGTTTTTCTCCTGTATACAGGTATAGCTTGTTTTTAAACTGTACCATGTTTTGTATCTTGTAATATTCCCTTAGTCCTTAAAAAAGCATATTTTGTATGTAGTAAAATGATATAGATAGCAAAAATTACATTAACTTATATTTCTTTTTCTAGCAAATACTGGCCCCTCTTTGTTCTGTCTTTCTACGTCCTCTCACCTATCCCGTACTGCATAGCGAGAAGGTTAGTAGACGACACAGACGCTATGAGCAACGCGTGTAAGGAACTCGCCATATTTCTTACAACAGGCATTGTTGTCTCAGCTTTTGGACTCCCTATTGTATTTGCCAGAGCACATCTGGTAAGTGAATATATTCTTCTGCTAATGATTTGTTATATGAGACCATGTTGAATTTTTCTCAGGAAATGTTTTTGTTAATGACATCGAAAAGAAATGAGAGACATAAGAGCCTAGAAAATAGAGATTAAAATCTCACTTTTTTTTGTTCTTGTTGACTAATAAAAATGATATTAGAGAGCATGGCTTGGGTCTGTAGCAGCAGTTTGCTTGCCAATACTTAATCGTCAGAGTTGGACACATCAACTCACCCATGCTGAACAACCACAGGCCTGTCCTGTAACATTTAAAATATGGAAGACCTGAAAAATTTGTGTGTTCTCTGCAGGTGGGAAAGTGCAAAAGAGGAGACTGGGCTAGGCTAAATCTACTGTATTCAGTTCTTCCTCTCTTACTCACCAGTCCAGGTTCATGCCTGCATCTCTGGGGAGGTAGAGAAGGCAGAGAAGACAGGAATGGCCACTCTTCTATATGGAGGAGGCACTTATTCCGCCAGCCTCTTTAAAAGAATGTACACGAGTGTGTTTTCATCTCTGATACTTTAAAATTCAGTCTGTTCTCTAGACAGACTTAGATTCACCAAGGAAAAGTTAGAGCAAATTTCTGTTAGATTCACTAAGAAAAAGTTACAGCAAATTTCTTTCTAAACAGAAAATTGTAAAATTCTATGCTGCTTCTTTATAGCCCAGGAGCCAAGCTTGTTTTGAATAATTATCTCTTATGACTTTCTTTTTAAAGGAGCCAAAGGATGGGCTGGCCGGTTAGCTCAGTCCATTAGAGCATGGTGTTGTAACACCAAGGTCGAGGGTTTAGATCCCTGTACTGGCCAGCCACCAAAAAAATAAATAAATAAGGGAGCCAAAGGTAAATAAAGACAGCAATATAAAAGTACCATTTAAGCATTCAGCACTGTGGAAGTTATTATTTCAAACCATATTTGTTTTAAATCATGATTGGCGTACAACTGGAGCATTGATTTGCTTTTCATTGTCCTTTTGTTTTTCATGTGGCTGTTAACTGAGTGTTTATATCTTATTTCCATAGATTGAATGGGGAGCTTGCGCGCTTGTTCTCACAGGAAACACAGTCATCTTTGCAACCATACTAGGCTTCTTCTTGGTCTTCGGAAGCAATGACGACTTCAGCTGGCAGCAGTGGTGAAAGGAATTACTGAACTATTGTCACATGGACCTCTTGTCGTTTGTTGGCCATCCATGCACACAGGAGAGTAATGCTGTATGGTATAGCGAGCCTCTTGGGGGTAAAAGCCTCTTCTCACTTTTATTGTAAGCATACTATTTTCACAGAGACTTGCTGAAGGATTAAAAGGATTTTCTCTTTTGGAAAAGCTTGACTGATTTCACACATATCTATAGTATGCTTTTTGTAGTGTCCTGCTGAATTTAAATATTTATGTGTTTTTCCTGTTCAGTTTTTTTTTTTAAATCAATATGCAATGTTAAACATTTTTTAAATGTAATAACCGTTTGCATTGGTTAGGAATTCAGAATTCTGCTGGCTATATTACTGGGCTAAAGTATATCTTTTCTCTTAAAATTATTTAACCTCCATTATCACAAAAAGTTATAAAAATAAGTTTTCAATCATCCAGGATGACATCACTGCCAATGTTATGCAAACATGCAGACCATTGGCATACCTTATAGACTATATACTCAGTGCAAATATAACTGCATTTATACCTCAGAGGGGCCAAGTATTAATGCCTAAGCCCTCCATAAGGGTTGCTGGTTTTACTAGTAGACAGGTGTTTTGTGAATTGAAAATTATTTTATGGAATTGCTATAAAGGAGTACTTTTCTTCTCAATTGTTAGAAGAATTTATGTTAAACTTTAAGGTAAGGGTATAAAAACAGATTTTTGAGATATGGTTTTTATTTATGTTTATTATAGTTAAAGGGAGTTGCAGTGTGGGAAGAAACAACATCGAAATTCCATTTTTTGAATCCTGTTTCTATTTATAAGTGAAGTTTTTGATCTTTGATCTTCTATCAGCCTTTCATGTTTTACCATGGGTAAAATGGACATACATAGAACTACTGATGAGGGAAAGTTGTATGTTGTACCATATGTACCAGGAAACCTTCCTCTGCTTCCTCCTTTTAACGTATTTTGTACATTGTGTATATTAAGTAGAGTAACTTTTCAAACATAGTTTAATATCACTTAGAGGTGTTTAACTCACCTGGAAAATAACTGCTATGCCATACATTCAAAGTTTCCCCTCCCCTGCAAGGCCTTGACATAATTAACAAGTGACTTGTTAGTCTTGCAGATAATTCATGCATTAACAGTTTAAGATTTAGACCATGGTAACGGTAGCTCACATTCTCTAAGGTTATATCATGTGTAATTTAAAGATATTTAAGTTTTCTGTATACCTCTCAACTGTTTTGATTTTGATTTCGTCGTGATAGATCTGCTATTTCCTTATAAAAGGCATTTATTGTGTTAATTAATGCAAAGTAGCAAAATCCAGCTATATAGCAGCTTCAGGCATAAACCTGACCAAAAAATTCCCAGTAACCAGGCATGATCAAATTGAAGTGGTCATTTACATCACAGTTATCAGTACTTTTTCAGGAGCTGGTTGTGAAGATGTTGAAGTTGGTCTGACAATATTTTGTTAAAGATATTTGTTTGTATGTTTATTCAGTATACTTACATAAAAATTGTTTGGCCTTCAGCCAAAACTGAGTAATCTTGACAGCTATCTTCCATTGTTTTATAAAGTTTATTTCTCAAGAAAATGGGAACAAATTTTGGATTTGTTCAGCTTTTTACTAAAGATGTCTAAAGCCACAGGTTTTATTGCCTAACCCAAGTTGTTACTTTTAGCTGTGAGATGGGAAGCAGGGTGAAATATTGATCGGCATGTGGCTGTACCATTTACACATTAGGCTGAAAATGGCTTATGGCTTTATGATGTTCTAGACTTAAAGAGAAATGTACAAGTGCACATGAATTAGTCAGCTGGTGACAGAGTTGGGGACTCTTTGTGCCTGTGATCTACTGGATTTTTTTGCAGGAAGTGCATTCTCTGGTCCTTCCCCATTTTCTGTTCTTCTAGATGTCAGTTCAGTGCGCTGAAATGGTTTTACTCGCTTAGCCATACACTCTTTCTACCAGCTGCATATTCTTTCTGTATACTAACTTCATTGGCAGCATTGTGTCTTTGACCTTGCACACTAGCTTGACATAGTGCTGTCTCTGATTTCTAGGCTAGTCACTTGAGGTATGAATTTTCCTTAGAATATGCACTGATACAGCATTGCCATTCTTCTATGGAAAGAAAACTTTTGATGATGAAACAATAAAGATTTTAAATATCTACTTTAGTTTATGGTGTTTTTGAGATGAAAATGTACTGCACACTTCAGTTTCTGAAGTGTATTAATCATTATAATAATGTGATATGAAGCAAGTATGACAGTTGTAATGCTAGAAACCATAGTAACAAATATTACAATTAAGTCCTGTGATTTTGAGCTATAGTAAAAGGACTAGTAATCTGCAGAAGTAGAATTTTTACCTAACTTTTTACCAAAACAATCAAGGTTTTGTTGATGTAAAAAGACTACTAATGATCTAAAGTCAAGATCCTACTTGTTCTTAAACTTTCAGAACTTTTTTAAGCCTGCATGTTTCAGAGCATTTTACTTTTTGCAAGCTTTTCAAATAGTTAAAAAATTTTCTGTGTGGTGTAACGTGAGCAGAGAAAAGTACTATTTTATCAAACATGAATCTTGCCCCAAATTGTCCTGATTATAATCTCATTATATACTTTTAAAAGTTTAAATCATAGGTTCTTAGTGTCTACTATAATATGATTTTTGGGCATTGTCAAAATAATCAAGGTTTCTCAAGTAGACCCTAAGATTTTATATTGAATGTGACTAGATTCATAAGTTTCAGGTAACTATAAATCAGTGCATCAAACTTAACAAGCAGCCATGCAAATTACCATCAAGTGGAATGAGTGTTTTAGATCTCAGGATGCTTTATGATGCATAACAATTGTTGGGAAATTCCAATTCGTATTTTTTTCACATAAGCCTATATTGCCCTTTTTCTAAGTGAAGATTAGGAGCTCTTGTTTCATTACAGGCATCCTCATTTTATGGCATTCCCAGGGAAGAAAACATTCTGTAGATAAATAATCCAGGTAACTGAAGCTTAACTCATTAAAAAGAAACATTGTTTTAATCATTTGACATAAGTGTTAAATGGACCGTACACTTGTGTTTTCTTAGGGTATATTAAAACATTTTAATTCTTTTTTTTTAATAATTTAGGACTATAATTATACTTTATTTTCACCTCATTTTAAATGACCACAGACCTATATTTTTCTGAAATTGTGTTTTGCTGGCTTTTCTTACAACTATTATAAGAAACTAGCACCCCTTAACTTTGTTTCTAATTTGCTAATTTGCAGTATATTAGGAAGAGTGGAAAGATGTCAGGGAAAAAGATGAGATAATCAAGCTCTGAATTAATTATGTAACATTTCTGTACACAGTGCAACATCAGTGGACTTAATTAGGGTGTCTCCCACTTATACAAATGAAATGCTTTGTGTCAGGAATTCTTCCTGCTAAAAAGTCCTTTTTTTTTTTTTTTTTTTTTTTTCTGGTTCTTAATTGTTTACCATATAATCCAGGGTTGCAAAAGGAGCACCAGATAAGGGAGGTGTTAATGTGCTGTACATTAGAAGAAGCTTTTAAATTAAGTTTTTATATACTTTAATGTGGGAGTTATTTCAAGCTTAGCGTACTCATAGACCTTTATCTGATTTCTGGGGTCATACATCTCTTCACCATTTGTTTTTATTTGCAAAAAGTTTAGGGATGAAGATAAACTTACAGTGTGTTTTTTTTTTAATTTTGTACTGTTTTGCTTGAAGATTATTTTTATTCTACAATTATATTAGTTGTAATTACAACAGTCAATTCAGATATTAATTGTTAAACTATATTAATTGTAAATTCCAGTCACAGGGAAAAGCAAAGAAATCCAAAAACTGTTTCCAATCTCCAGTGAGAGATTATGATCATAAAAACATTCCTTTTTCAATTATAATTCTGTTTTTTGTATTTGTATTTAGAAATGGGGGGAAGTCAGGAAATTTTATTTTAGGAGCCAGTAGAATGGCTAAACTATGAAAGAGAAGCTTTGTTGCAGTTTACAAACATAAAAACCATCAAATAGAATAAAATATCAAAAAATAAACGAGTATTTCCATATCTGTTTGTAAGAGCATTACTATTTAATAATTAAGTTATCTTGATTTATAGTGTATCTGGCACTTAATGTCAGAAATATCTTATTCTCTTAGCAGATCAATTTGTTGTGTAATATGTAAATACAGCTGCGATATAAATGTAAGTGAACTTGTGTAGATTTGTGAACCTCGCCAAAATAGGACAGATGTTTTCCTGAAAGCTAGGTTTATGTCATCAGACATTTGAGGATTGTTCTAAAAGTGTTTACAATTGAAACAACTTTCTAGGATTAAACTAAGATCGATTTAATTTATTATTGTCATGGCCTAAATCATCAACTTTGAAAACATAAGTAAGAATCAGTTCTAAAACCTAGTTGTAGCAGTATAGAGAATAGCAGTGAAGATGAGGGTAAAAAAAAAAGTATTAAGAAAAAGATGGTTTTGAACCATGCTTCATACTAGAAATGACATTTGTCATTTACCAGTGTAAATGGCCTGGTAATTATTTTCATAGTACAGTGCTTAAAACAGTATATCGATTTCAAAAAATATAGTATATTGATTTCAAAAAATATACTATAAAAAAGCCCTTCTAGATGCTGAGAAATGTCCAGCTAGTTGTAGAAATGATTTGGTGTTCACATCTCTGTATTTCACTTTGGCTATGTCACTGAGATAACTCCGTACTTGATTCCAGCTTTTCACTTAGAAAACGTCCTTGTTCCCAGTGACAGTTATATATGAGAGCACTTCAAAAAGTTCATGGAAAGATTTTTATTATCTTTTAATTCTATTTTTCCATGAACTTTTTGAAATACCCTCCTAGAAAACGTCCTTGTTCCCAGTGACAGTTATATATGAGAGCACTTCAAAAAGCTCATGGAAAGATTTTTATTATCTTTTAATTCTATTTTTCCATGAACTTTTTGAAATACCCTCATTTACACGCCAGCATTGTAGCTAGTGTTGGGGAACAGAGAAAAATTGGAGCACTTGGTCCTTCTCTAAACTAGTAATCTAGTGAGATAAGGCAAAGACACGAAATCTGTCATATTAAAGGAAGCTGATTCGTATCCATGGCAAGAGAGAAGTGTGAAGGTTCACAGAAAGAAAAGACCTGGGAAGTGAAAGTGAGGTGAGTGATTTCGTGTCACTCGGGCAGGTCTTGTGCTGGCAAGCAGGGTCACGGAGAAGTGAGCGTTTTGGGAGCAGCATTATGGTGTATGTGTTCTTCTGCTTTCCGGGATTCAGAAGGCAGTAGGGGCAGCAGTAATGATGGTGGCAACTGCTTCATTCTGATACCCTGATCTCTGGATCCACGGAGATGGGAGAAGTGGTGAGACTGAGACTGTGTTTTAAAGAAATGCAACCCAGCACATTTGCTCGTGAGTTGTGTGGGAGAGAGAGGAGTCAGTGATGACTGCCAGGGTTGACTGTCTGCATCAGCAGGATAGGAGTGAAGAAGTAGCAAGGGAGAGTTTGGAAAAAATAGTTAAGGTTCAGGACGACTAGTTCATGTCCATTTTTTTTACCTAGAAATACCACGACTTGCTTTGTTTCAGACCTTTACCAAACAAAGTTCTATCAAGACTTGTGACGCTTGACCTTATGACTTACAATTGCGTGAGCACTTACATGTGTAGCACACGTCGTAGCATAGTGCTTGCGGGGTGGGCTGTGCAGTCAGACCGCCTGACCTCTAGCTCTTCCTTATGCCAGCTGTGTGACCTTAGCCCAGTCATTTAACCTCATCCCTGAAGTGAGGATAATAACAGCACCTACTGCATAAGGTGGGTGTGAGATTTAAATGTAACATGCAGAGGCTCAGAGATAGTGAGTGTAAGATGTTAGCTATACTATTACTGTTTCTTACCAATTCCTTGTATTGCTAAGCAGTTTCCTCTTCTCACACAAGTGGGCAAACTTTTTAAAAATACATTTTAGGGCCGGCCCGGTGGCACACTCGGTAGAGTGCGGTGCTTGGGAGCGCGGCAGCACTCCTGCCGAGGGTTCGGATCCCATATAGAGACTGGTCCGCTCACTGGTTGAGCGCGGTGTGGGCATGACACCGAGGGTTGCGATCCCGTTGCCGGTCGCGGTACGGGCGCGACACTGAGGGTTGTGATCCCGTTACCGGTAACGAAAAAAGACAAAAAGGAAAAAAAAATACATTTTAATGATCCAGTTTTTATAGAATATCATGCAGACACGGGTCTCTTTGTCAGCCATGTAGTATCTCTTGGAAAGGCTGTAACCACCTTGTTCTGGGTCACTTGTTGTAGCACTTCAAGTTAATCAAGAAGGCCTGTTTCTTGATTATGACAGGTGCTCTGACATGGGCTCTTGGAAAGGCTGTAACCACCTTGTTCTGGGTCACTTGTTGCAGCACTTCAAGTTAATCAAGAAGGCCTGTTTCTTGATTATGACAGGTGCTCTGACATGGGCTTCCAAAAGGCTAAGTATACATGGTCCTCCCTACCCCCACTTCTGCACCAAAGTGTGCAAATGATATACTTTTTTTCTCAAGAACAGGGAAATATATTGCTGAAGTTAAAACAAGAAGTCTCGATAGATCTGAAACAGAAATCTCAGAAAATGAGAACATGTAGAATCAAACTGAAGTGAGAAACTGCAGCCTGAAATGCTTGTAGCAAACAGTACCATAAAAAGAGAATACTACCATATAAAGGTGGAGCCATGTCAAGAATCAGTTATTGCCAGGAGCAGGAGGGGCTTATAGAGGCAATTTACAGGGGGGGAGACAAGGGATGCTGCAGCAAGAGCAGCTGAGCCCGCAGATCTCTGTGCTTCTCCACATACACACCCATCCCCGTCTCACACCCTCCATTGTGGGGTGGGGACAGCATGTGTCCTGCAGTGGCAAGAATGAGAGTATCAAATCCAGAAGACCAGCCAGCAGGTACCCTGCCCAGCAGCACATCTTTTTCATTCCTAATGCACAGAAAACACTGTGCCTCTCTCCAGTCAGACCACACCAGAAGGGGCGGCAGGTGGTCTAGCCAGGGCATCTCAATGCAACCATGAGCTCCCAGGCAGGGATCACCGAACAGTTCAGGAACGCCAAATAGAACAAAACAAGTTCAAAGAATTTACAACTGAGGAAACAGTTAAGGGAACAAACAGAAGATGCATGTTTACAGTTTTAAGTACTGGCGCAGGAACCCCTTACCTAATGTACAAAATCAAACTGATGAGGTTAAAGTTGCAGAACGTTTTACATTTTTTGCACCCAAATCCAATTAGGATTCCTCAGGACCAAACCCTAGGGAAAACAGTTCATTTTGTTTTTCCTCAGAGGCTCTTCATCCTATTACAATGGATTTTATTTAAAGACTCTTAGTATAATCTTAATGTGGAGAAACCTCTTTTAACAATGCATTCTTCCTGTGACTCCCCGTCCTGAGACTGTGAACCCACAGCCTACCATCTGCTTGGATAGGAAGGAAGGGAAAAGCTATACTCAGAAGTACACAACTTACATGACGTTTCGGATTCCCACCTAGAACACTGCATGGCCCATCACAGATGTTAATTCATTCGGCAGACTTTTTTGGAACCAGACATGGACTATGAAGTGAATAAGAAGGAATGTGCGGTGGGATCAGATGATGGTAAGTATCTTGAAGATCTATACTACATTATATCTACAGAGCTGATGTGTGACTAGAGGAAGTAGGCACTAACTGGGAAAGGAGAATAGAGGAATGCATCACAAAAATGATTTTTGCGCTCAGACTAGGAAGAGTATAAGTAAGCACTCAAGCCTTTGACCCATGTCACAGTTAATGTGCTGATTCTTATGCTGTTCCTTTTCCAAAGTATTTCTGGGAATCCCCGGAATGCTTACATGTTACGCAAGTTAGTCCTGGTTGTTGCTTGTAGCCCAGCCTGGCACCAGCTGACTTCTGCTTGTTTGTAGCCACTGTTTGCCATTTTCTAATTGCTTTCCCAAGCTGCTATCTCTTATTCTATATCCTGCACCCCAATCAGGGATAAGACCCTCTCCTTTGGTCCTACAAAGCACATCTAAAATCAGACTGTAACTTTAAACATATTTTACCAAAGGCCTGAGGAAGAGAGAGAGGAATTACTACACAAACCCCCCCCCCACCCACCCACCCACTCTCACACACACCAAAACACATAAAACTGGGGGCTGGACTTGCTGGCATCTACAGTCTGTGGGCCATGCGCCTGCGCCAGGCTGCAGTTGCATTTTACACCTCCCCTAAATAGGAGGCTTCTTGGATGAGGTCGCTCACATGAGGTTAGGCCCCACCTGCAAGGCAGCGTGACCTGCAGAAATGCAGCCCTGCCCACAGAAGGCAAGGATCTCCATAACTAAGCAGATCATCCTTTCAACCATTTTAATCTAGAAGGAAGATTTTGTTTTACATAGCTAAGAAGCTCATCAAATTCTTTTTTTCCCCTGAGCAATAGCAGACTTATTAAAGATTGATTCAGAAATTGTTAATAACTTTAAACAGCAGTTTCTCCTACTTCTGGCCATCAAGGTATTAAAGCACACGCCACCTGTGCTCCCATTTCATTGGCCAGAGCTGGTCACGTGGCCAAGCCTGATCTCAAGAAGTAAGGGAAGTAAAATCCAACAAGAAAGCCCGCCACCCTTCTTTCTATCACCCTTCCCTTGCTTCTCCTCTGCTCCTAAACCTCATGCTCTGAACTTAATTTTTTTTTTTATTTAAATACCCTGAAACTAGTGTTCCTGTTACTGAGCTCCTTTTTCTTCATTTTCAGTCCTCTCCTACTTTTCTCATCAACTTTCTACTCCATTACCACCTCTGGGAAAGACTTATTTCCTCTTTGCTCTTAAATACCAATTCTGGAGGCTGCGTCAGGATCAACTGGTAATGACCACCTGCCAGCCTTTGTGCCTGCATGACTTGCTGTCCCATGCTCCCCCACAAGCTTACACTGAGGAAAACAGTATCAAATCTTTTAAAAATTATTTCCTTTTATTATTTGCTGATTATTTGCTTGATGTAAGTTACCATCCACACTGTTAAATAGGCAATGGGCTATTTTTGCACAGGGGCCATGCTAATCTTCTCTGCATTGTTCTAATTTTAGTATGTGTGCTGCTGAAGCAAGCACCCAATGGGCTATGTTCAAGAATAAT